CCATCTCTGATTACAAATTAGTTCTCTCTTCTAAGTCTGATGGTAATCTTTTTTTTCCTCACAGTAACCTTGTTATATAAAGAGGAAAATATCAGTTCAAATGTGTCAGATCTGTTTCTCTTCAGAGTCTGTCAGGTTGGGGGGAGCCAGTCGCTGTGTAGGACCAGTGGAGCTGAAACATCAAGGAGAATGGAGACCAGCAGTTGACTATGACCTCAGGAAAGCAGCTGTTCTCTGTAAACATCTGGACTGTGGATCTGCTGTTTCTGCTGTAATCAGACCGAAGTCCTCACCTGCAGATGTGCTGGGGATCAGCTCTGACTGTTTTCAGTCTGGATCTACTCGAAGCGAGTGTGCAGCACCAAATGCCTCCAACTACACCCTGGATCTCATTTGCTCAGGTAAGACCATGTGTGACATCATATATGACAGCCAGAATTTCAGGGTAATCCTCCCTCTTTAAGTTTTAAGTTCTCCGAAGAAATGACAGAAATCACCTGCTCCAACTGAGTGTGACTCTAACTTTACCTTAAATAATCAACTGTCTTTACAGACTTGCTGGTTCAGCCCATCATCCAGGCATCCTCCATGGATGGGGTCTCTGAGGCCCAGGAGCAGGGGCTTACAGTATCCAGGCACTCCAACTTCACCATCAGCTGCTCCATCCAGCCACAATACTCAGGAGGCTCCTTCCAGCTCACCTTCACCTCCTCCAGCACAACATACAGCTACAGCCAGCCAGCTGTCAATCACTCTGCCCACTTCCTGTTTCCTGCTGCAGTGCCCGCCCACCAAGGAAACTACAGCTGTGTTTATCACATCTACGTTTTCTCTCATAACTTCTCCTCCGAGAGCCGCCAGCTGTCTGTTGCTGTTTCAAGTAAGCTGAATTTTTCTGATTTTTTTGGATGCATATAAACACATTTGACCAATCACGGCATTGAAGAGAGTGAAACAGTCAAAGGGTTCAACATGGCGGAACACTTGTTTGTTGTGTCACAGAATAGCTTGCAATCAGGTCTCTGAAATTATTTCTCTTCCTTCTCATGTGTTGTCCCAAATCTGCTACCCCACTGAAATCCTGAAATATGGATGAAAGCTTCAACTCCTGGATCAGACCAGAAAATTCTCCCTGCTGCCGCTTTCTCCTGAGAATGGCATGCACCCAGGATCAGAACTAGCTTATCGTCGCTTGATGTTCTCTCCATTTTTTTCTGCACAGTGGGCTTTCTGAGGATACTTTTTTTTTGTAAAAACTTAACGTTTTCAGTGTGTGTGTAGGTTATATGGCAAGTTCACATATGGGAAAAATTATAGCATCTCATTTTTGTGTATGAGCCTTATAATTAGAGCAAAGATCATGTTTCATCACCTGGATAAGTCTGGTTCTGAGTGCGGTCAACTGTGAGAAAGATACAAGCTTCATCTCATCTATCATGCACCCCTCAGCCATTTTGAGGTGTACTTCCTACACCTAGCTAAGACTCAGATACTTCATTCAGGACCCAGAACCAGGGTTAATCTGCTAATAACTCACTTTGTTACTATGATACATAGGGCTCCTGGCGTGCATGAAGACCCACACCGGATGTTGCGTTCCAGAGTTTTCATTTGTCAAAACCGCAGTGGTCTCAGGACTGATGTTTAGGTTCACTTAATCCCTACAAACCAAAAAGTGCTTCACGGTGAAAATGGATAATGAGCCAAAGGAAACTGAAAAAGTAACCCAAGAGTTTCTTAAGGAAAAAAGATGGGTGATTCTTTAACAACCAAAACAGCCACCTAATGTCAACCCAACAGAGGAACTTTTCAGAATAACCCACAAGTAGAGCATCTCAGGGAGGGGATCCAGGATTTAGTGAGTGATGTTCATAGGTCCTCAACTTCAGGCAGCCAGTGACTGCAAAGGATTATTATGAGTATAAAAAAACAATCCGTATATTTGACCAATTCGTGAGCATTCTGAAAATATGGATTAAAGTGTTTGTAATTGAATACTTGGTTAATACTTTAGTTTACTGTTTAGCTAAACTTGATGATTTCATTTAAACATCCCCTGTGATGGTGTACTGAAACAAAACTGTCCAAATACTTTTTCTATACTACAGTACAGTGTCTCAAATATGTAATTAAAATTATATTTGTAATATTTCAATGAAGATATATTTGCACTTTCAACAAATAATTAGAGATGTATCACTATTTTTAGTCTGATTAACATATTTCTTTCATTTCACATATTCTTATATTACTATTTTTATATCTGAACAGCTGTAAAAATGACTCCGTTTCTTCTCAGAGATCAATCAAATATTTTATTCAGGTTCAGTGTAATAATTTAAACTACTGAACTCATTAAACTTTGTTCCATCCAACAGCTCCAGCAGCTCCAACAGTTCATACCATCACAGGAGTCGTCCTGCTGCTGATTCTCCTGATTGTGATTACTGCCCTTTATTTCTGCTGGAAGGTACTGAAACATCTTTGTAGCTGACAATGAACTGACAAGAGGATCAATGCAGTCAGTCTGATCTGTGATGTCTCTGCAGGCCAGCAGGGAGCAGACGCTGAGCAGAAAGGGGAACACTGACGTGGTTTACTACAACTACAGTGATCACGGAGAAGGAGGATCAGCTGAAGATGAAAGTCGCCAGGGAGGAGAGCAGGACCTCAAAGAAGCTCATCTCAAATCCAATTGAATTTCTGAAAAATGACTATCATAACAGTTAACACAATAGTTTTCTATTGAATATAAACTTGTGTACTCACTTCACTGATGTATTGCTTCATTTAAAACTAGAGGGGAAAGCACAATGTCATCCAACAAACCAGGGGCGATTCTAGGATTAGAGCTTTGGGGGTGCTGAGCACCCAGAGAGCTGCCCAGCCAGGCAAGATAAATCATATGATTCTTAAATTCATCAAGTCTCTCTGTGCCTGGGTCATGACATCACTGTTTTGTACATTTTAACACAATTCAATCCCCACATTTGTGAAAGAAAAGCAAAACACTTTTTTGAAAAGTCTGTAACAAAACCATCAAATCTGATAAGGGTTATTTAAATGCTGCTAAAGAAGAATGGATTGAAATTAAAAAAAAAAAAAATACATATCCTAACCTTAACTAGGTTAGAATATGATAATAATGAATGATGCTCATAGTAAAAAGTAAACTGAGTGCATTGTTTGGACAGAGATTCACTTTTAATGTGTATGTATAATATAATACAGATACATAAAAAACACTTCCAACAGAATAAATTATTACAAATAAAAATCTAATTTAATAATACTAATTTTGTGTTATAAGATTTATGGGTTTCATTCTTTCATAGTGGTGCTTGGGAGAATTTGACATTTTTATCAGGTGGTACACACTGTAAGAAGTTTGAGAAACACTGATAAGTGTATGTGTGCTTTTGGAAAACATTTAAAGCTGCTGTACAGAATCTTTGAAACAAGCTTAAAACACTTTTAGAATATAAACAGAGTATCTGCTTCTCTTTACAGCTCCTCACTCCACCAGGGCTGTTTGGCACTTTCTGTTAGTGCACAAATGTGGCGCACATATTGTGGCAGTCATACAGACAACTGGACGGTCCAAAAGTTGGCCTACCTATTACTGGCTGAGGTTTTAGTAGAGTTGTGGCTGAACCACATAAAAATATATCATTAATTTTAATCTCCCCAATCAATTATAATGTTATGTTGGAATGTTGTTAAAGAGGGTCAAAAATGTTTCAACGCAATTTGTTTTGCAGATTCTGTACAGCAGCTATAATATAGGGAGAACACAACTTCCAGATTGTATGAGTAAAATCAGGTTTTTTCTCTCTTTTTGCCTGTCACTTTTCCCTGTCTGTTTTCTTACCTGGTTCTTCCTGAACTTGTACTTTCTCCTCACGTTCCCCTCTTTCCTCGCTCTAATTGTATTCAATTAGATGAAAAATTACATTAATATGAAAAAATACTATTAAGATCACTAACAAAAAGTCCTCTCTCAGTGTACTTTCAACCAAAAGG